GGAAGATTTTCCCTCACCTATCCTTCCTGTGACAGTTTTTTTTTGCTAAACAAACAAAAAAAGACCAAAACTTTTGAAAAAAAACCCATTTTATTCATTTCTGTTCTATACATTTTCAGTAACCGGAGAGTATTGCAAACAGTCAAGAGAGAAAACAAACGTCTGTCCCCGGTACCCACAGATGCCGCATATCGTAAAAACAACGTTTTATTGAAAAGGGATCATTTTTTCTGATAGGAAATCGTTCAAAAAGAGACAGAAAACGGGAAGATGGGGCAACGGACGGGACTTGTGGGCAGCTGAAGTCTGGGCTGAGTGTGCCACCTGGTGGTGAGTAGAGGGAGCTGCTACCGATGTGTGGTAACCACTTTAAGGAGCCAAACTTTTCTGACATTTTTGTTTACAAGTAAAAAGACATTTTTGCTAGAAAATTATTAGAATCCCCAAACCTCAGATACATACAGTTGTGTTCATAATAATATCCGTGTGATGAAAAAAGTGACTGAAGCTGCAAATCCTTCTAATCCTTTTATTTCCATCCACACAAATGCATTGGGAACACGACACATTCTATTCCAAATCACAACATGAAGAAAAAACATCAAATTTGTGTTGTTCCTCTAAAAAAATGGAAGAAAAGTGAATATTAGACGGTTCAAAAAAATGGCCGTGTTTGTATTCTTCTTTCCAAACTCCAACATTCACTATATAAACTGAGAAATGTTTGAAGATTTTGCTTTCCTTTGAATGACTTCATGAATATTTGGTTGTAGTCGCACTGTTTCTGAGAACTGCAGTACATCTGTGTTGCATGGAGTCCCCCAACTTCTGGCCCCTGTGATCAGGTATTCCAGCCCAGGATGATTGGACCACATTCCACACTTCTTCTCTATTTCTTGGTTTGGCCTCAGAAACGGCATTTTTGATGTCACCCCACAAGTTTTCTATTGGATGAAGATCCGGGGATTGGGCTGGCCACTCCATAACGTCCATCTTGTTGGTCTGGAACCAAGATGTTGCCCGTTTACTGGTGTGTTTGGGGTCGTTGTCTTGTTGGAACCCCCATTTCAAGGGCATTTCCTCTTCAGCATAAGGCAGCATGACCTCTTCAAGTATTCTGATGGATTCAAACTGATCCATGATCCCTGGTATGCGATAAATAGGCCCCAACACCGTAGTATGAGAAACATCCCCATATCATGATGCTTGCACCACCATGCTTCACGGTCTTCACAGTGTACTGTGGCTTGAATTCAGTGTTTGGGGGTCGTCTGACAAACTGTCTCCGCCCACTAGACCCAAAAAGAACAATCTTACTTCCATCAGTCCACAAAATGTTGCCCCATTTCTCTTTAGGCCGGTCAATGTGCTCTTTGGCAGATTGTAACCTCTTCAGCACACACACGTCTTCTTTTTCCCAACAGTGGGACTTTGCGGGGACTTCTTGCAGATAGCTTGGCTTCACATCGGCGTCTTCTAATTGTAACAGTCCTCACAGGGAACGTCACACCTTCTTTCATCTTCCTGGAGCTGATTGTTGGCTGAGTCCTCACAGGGAACGTCACACCTTCTTTCATCTTCCTGGAGCTGATTTCCCTGGGAACGTCACACCTTCTTTCATCTTCCTGGAGCTGATTGTTGGCTGAGTCCGCCCCATTTTGGCTATTCTTCTATCCATTCCAATGGTAGTTTTTTTCGCTTTCTTCCACGTCTTTCAGGTTTTGGTTGCCATTTAAAAGCATTTGCCATCATTTTAGCTGAGCAGCCGATCATTTTCTGCACTTCTTTATATGTTTTCCCCTCTCCAATCAACTTTTTAATCAAGGTACGCTGTTCTTCTGAACAATGTCTGGAACCACCCATTTTCCTCAGAATTTCAGAGAGAAATGCACTGTAACCAGCATGTCCAACATTTGCTGCCTTCCTTCCTTAAATAAGGGCAATAATTGCCACCTGTTTATCAAAGAATGAATGACGTCACTAATAGAACTCCACACGGCTATTATTGTGAACACGCCCCTTTCAATGAGTGATTCAATGACACAGAATCAGCAGCATGCATGTCATGACTGTCGGGTCTGTTGGATTTCTATGACTCTACTACACCTGCTAGGAAATTATCTGCCACGTAGAAATATCATTTCCAGCAAAAACAGCGATTGATCCGGTTAGTGATGTCTGACGGCTAGTATTCTCAACACAACTGTATATATATTTTTAGCAGAGACTAGAATGAAATGGTGATCACTGACATTTTTCATGTCGCACGGTATTTGCGCAGCGGTTCTTCAAACGCAAATTGTTCAGAAAAAATACACTTTAATGAATAAATAAAAAAAACCACAATATACACCCCAATTCATTTATAGAATATGAAAGATGATGTCACGCCGAGTCAGAGGAAGTCCAGCATTAGAATGGTTGCTCTCGCTCTGACGTTCGCGTGGCTCATGTATGCGTTCACTTCTGCACGCGAGCACAGAGGGGGGGAGGGGCTTTCATTTTTTTTCTTATTCATTCATTTATTTTTACACTGTCCTTTTATTTTATTTGTAATCATTTTTATTCCCATTACAAGAAATGTAGACATCCCTTGTGATAGAAATAAGGGATGACAGGTCCTCTTTATGGAGAGGTCGGGGGTCTGTAAGACCCCTATTCACTCCTCTACCTTTAAAAGCATAAGTTTAAAAAAAAAGATTGATCTTATGCTTGAAACAAACAAACAAAAAAGTTTACATCGGCTCTAGCATGGAAGTGACATCATGACGTTGCTCCAGTCCTCCTAGATCATAGAGGGGAGGAAAGATGGATGATCTGGTCTTTCCTCACCTTTGTGACCTGCAGCTGCAACCGCAAGCCGGACCGGATCTTGGGCTCATCGGGGAGAATGGTATGCTCAGGAAACACCAGCAAGCAGTGGGGGGTGGGGAGTCCCCTCCTGATGGTTCTAAAAGCGATCCAGTGGCTAATCAGCTGCTCAGATCACTTTTATCAGAAAGAAAAACGACTGCTGAAGAGTTATGGATCACAGCTTCAGCCACAACCCCGGTAAACCATTTGCAATCCGCAACACATATATATATATATTAAATTATATTATTATTATACCTTTAATAGCCCCCCAGTCTTAGTCCGGAGGGTTCAATAGTGAGTTGGCCCCGCCCTTTCCCCCACACATGACCTTTAATGGCCTCCCAGTCTTAGTTCGTAGGGTTCAATATTGAGTTGGCCCCCGCCCTTTCCCCCACACATGACATTTAATGGCCTCCCAGTCTTAGTTCGTAGGGTTCAATATTGAGTTGGCCCCGCCCTTTCCACACACATGACCTTTAATGGGCCCCCAGTCTTAGTCCGGAGGGTTCAATATTGAGTTGGCCCCGCCCTTTCCCCCCCGCACATGACCTTTAATGGACCCCCCAGTCTTAGTCCGTAGGGTTCAATATTGGGTTGGCCCCGCCCTTTCCACGCACATGACCTGTAATGGCCCCCCAGTCTTAGTCCGTAGGGTTCAAAATTGAGTTGGCCCCGCCCTTTCCACACACATGACCTTTAATGACTCCCCAGTCTTAGTCCGTAGGGTTCAATATTGAGTTGCCCCCCGCCCTTTCCACACACATGACCTTTAATGGCCCCCCCCAGTCTTAGTCCGTAGGGTTCAATATTGAGTTGGCCCCGCCCTTTCCACACACATGACCTTTAATGGCCCCCCAGTCTTAGTCCGTAGGGTTCAATATTGAGTTGGCCCCGCCCTTTCCACACACATGACCTTTAATGGCCCCCCAGTTCTTAGTCCGTAGGGTTCAATATTGAGTTGGCCCCGCCCTTTCCACACACATGACCTTTAATGGCCCCCCAGTCTTAGTCCGTAGGGTTCAATATTGAGTTGGCCCCACCCTTTCCACACACATGACCTTTAATGGCCCCCCCGTCTTAGTCCGTAGGGTTCAATATTGAGTTGGCCCCACCCTTCCCACACACATGACCTGTAATGGCCCCCAGTCTTTGTCTGTAGGGTTCAATATTGAGTTGGCCCCGCCCTTTCCACACACATGACCTTTAATGGCCCCCCAGTCTTAGTCCGTAGGGTTCAATATTGAGTTGGCCCCGCCCTTCCCACACACATGACCTTAAATGGCCCCCCAGTCTTTGTCCGTAGGGTTCAATATTGAGTTGGCCCCGCCCTTTCCACACACATGACCTTTAATGCCCCCCAGTCTTAGTCCGTAGGGTGCAATATTGAGTTGGCCCCGCCCTTTCCACGCACTTGACCTTTAATGGCCCCCCAGTCTTAGTCCGTAGGGTTCAATATTGAGTTGGCCCCGCCCTTTGCAGCTATAACAGCTCCAACTCTTCTGGGAAGGCCGTCCACAAGGTTTAGGAGGGTGTCTATGGGAAGGTTGGACCATTCTTCCAGAAGCACATTTGTCAGGTCAGGCACTGATGTCGGGGGAGGGGCACTGATGTCGGGGGAGGAGGCCTGGCTCGCAGTCTCCGCTCTAATTCATCCCAAAGGTGTTCTATGGGGTTGAGGTCAGGACTCTGTGCAGGACAGTCAAGTTCCTCCACCCCAAACTGGCTCCTCCATGTCTTTATGGACCTTGCTTTGTGCACTGGTGGGCAGTCATGTTGGAACAGGAAGGGGCCATCCTCAAACTCTTCCCACATAGTTGGGAGCATGAAATTGTCAAAAATGTCGCCTTGAGAGTTCCCTTCACTGGAACTAGGGGGCCAAGTCCAACCCCTGAAAAACAACCCCACACCATAATCCCCCCTCCACCAAACTTTACACTTGGCACAATGCAGTCAGGCAAGTACCGTTCTCCTGGCCACCGCCAAACCCAGACACGTCCATCAGATCACCAGATAGAGAAACATGATTGGTCACTCCAGAGAACACTCCTCCACTGCTCTAGAGTCCAGTGGCAGCGTGCTTTACACCACGGCATCCGACGCTTTGCATTGCACTTGGTGATGGAAGGCTTGGATGCAGCTGCTCGGCCATGGAAACCCATTCCATGAAGCTCTCTACGCACTGTTGTTGGGCTCATCTGAAGGCCACACCAAGTTTGGAGGTCTTTAGCTGCTTGATTGGGAGGGGATTGGAACACCTGAATCACATGATATGGAGGGGATTGGAACACCTGAATCACATGATATGGAGGGGATCGGAACACCTGAATCACATGATATGGAGGGGATCGGAACACCTGAATCACATGATATGGAGGGGATCGGAACACCTGAATCACATGATTGGAGGGGATTGGGACACCTGAATCACATGATTGGGAGGGGATTGGAGCACCTGAATCACATGATATGGAGGGGATTGGAACACCTGAATCACATGATTGGGAGGGGATTGGAGCACCTGAATCACATGATATGGAGGGGATTGGAACACCTGAATCACATGATTAGGGGGCAATATAGAGTGTGTGTGTGTGTATATATATATATACGTATTGTGGTCAGTAAGTGGATAAAATTGTCAATACAGAGGTCTGTGCTGTGATTGGACGCAGTTGATCAGCAGGTGCCGGCCATGAATCAGGAGGAGCTCATTGATAGAGGTGGGGAAGGAAAACCCATTGATAGAGGTGAAGAGGGAAGGCATATTGATGGAGGTGTGTGTGTGTGAGGGGTCATTGATGAAAGTGGGAAGGGGGGGAAGGCTCACTGATAGAGGTGGGGAGGGAAGGCCCATTGATGGAGGTGGGGGAGGGAAGGCCCATTGATGGAGGTGGGGAAGGAAGGCTCATTGATGGAGGTGGGGAGGGAAGGCTTAATGATGGAGGTGGGGGGGAGAGTTAATTGTTGAAGGTGGGGAGGGAAGGTTCACTGATGGAGGTGGAAGAGGGTAGGCTCAATGATGGAGGTGGGAGAGGGTAGGCTCAATGATGGAGGTGGGGGGGAGGTTCATTGATGGAGGTGGAAGAGGGGAAGGCTCATTGATGGAGGTGGGGAGGGAAGGCTCATTGATGGAGGTGGGGAGGGGAGGTTTATTGATGGAGGTGGGGAGGGAAGGCTCATTGATGGAGATGGGGGGTCAATAATGGAGGTGGGGGCGGGAAGGTTTATTGATGGAGGTGGGGAGGGAAGGCTCATTGATGGAGATGGGGCGGGAAGGTCCATTGATAGAGGTGGGGAGGGAAGGCTCATTAATGGAGTTGGGGGGAGGGAAGCTCATTGATGGAGGTGGGGAGGGAAGGCTCATTGATGAAGGTGGGCAGAGAAGGCTTATTGATGAAGGTGGGGGGGAGGCTCATTGATGGAGGTGGGGGGAGGTTTATTGATGGAGCTGGAAGAGGGGAAGGCTCATTGATGGAGATGGGGAGGGAAGGCTCATTGATGGAGATGGGGGGTCAATAATGGAGGTGGGGGTGGGGGGTTTTATTGATGGAGGTGGGGAGGGAAGGCTGATTGATGGAGATGGGGCGGGAAGGTTCATTGATAGAGGTGAGGAGGGAAGGCTCAATGATGGTGTTGGGGGAGGGAAGCTCATTGATGGAGGTGGGGAGGGAAGGCTCATTGATGGAGATGGGGAGGGAAGGCTCATTGGTGGAGGTGGGGGGGCTCATTGATGTAGGTGGGGAGGGAAGGCTCATTGATGGAGGTAGGGGGGGCCATTGATAGAGGTGGGGAGGGAAGGTGTAACGGAACTGGCCCCAGACTGCGCTTGGATTCTTCCGTTAGACTATCGCTTCCCTGTCCGAACACCGACCACTGACACCACAGAGACCATACAGGACTAGACGACACCAATCTGGAAGAAAACCAGGAAGTAGACTACTTTATTTGAACACAGATACAAGATATCAGGACACTCAGGGGACAATTTATTTCCACTGCATAATGACACAGGGGGGGCAATCCCCCCTCCCTGCATAATGACACAGGGCGGGGCAATCCCCCCTTCCTGCATAATGACACAGGGTGGGGCAATCTACATTTAGTAACAAGAGACACACCAGCAGACAGTCCCATCAGGAGGGAGGGCTGCTGGAGACACCCCCACCAAGCCAATACACACAAACACATACATCCCATAGAGAGCTGTGTTTTATGCCCCCCCACCCAAAGTCACTCCCGTCATAGAAGGCTCATTGATGGAGGTGGGGGAGAGGCTTATTGATGGAGGTTGGAGAGAAGGCTCATTGATGGAGGTGGGGAGGAAAGGCTCATTGTGGGGAGGGAAAGGCTCATTGATGGAGGTGGGGGAGGCTCAGGGAAGGGTGTGGGGGGCTCATTGATGGAGGTGGGGAGGGGGAAGGCTTATTGATGGAGGTGGGGGGGCTTATTGATGGAGGTGGGAGGGAAGGCTCATTGATGGAGGTGGGGAGGGAAGGCTCATTGATGGAGGTGGGGGAGGGAAGGCTCATTGATGGAGGTGGGGGAGAGGCTCATTGATGGAGGTTGGAGGGAAGGCTCATTGATGGAGGTGGGGGGGGGCTCTCATTGATAGAGGTGGGGAGGGAGGGCTCATTGATGGAGGTGGGGAGGGAAGGCTCATTGATGGAGGTGGGGGAGAGGGCTCATTGATGGAGGTTGGAGGGAAGGCTCATTGATGGAGGTGAGTGGAGAAGGCTGTCCTGTGTAGTCCGACCCAATAGAAGATCTACTGGAGCTCAAATTGTTGAAAAAGTTCATGCTGGTTCTGATAGAAAGGTGTCGGGACACACAGAGCATCGCGATTTGTTGTGTATGGGGGGGCTGTGTAGGCGCAGACCAGTCAGGGTGTCCATGCTGACCCGAATCCACAGCCAGAACCGCCTACAATGGGCACATGAGATCAGAACTGGACCACGGCACAATGGAAGAAGGTGGCCTGGTCTGATGAATGATGTTTCTTTCCCATCATGTGGATGGCCGGGTGGGTGTTCATCACTTACCTGGGGAGGAGATGGCACCGAGATGGTGGAGGCCGTGTCATGCATTGGGCAATGTTCTGCTGGGAAACCTCGGGTACTGCCACTCGTATGGGATGGACACGGACCACCTACCTAAACATTGTTGGTGATCAAGTCCACCCCTTCATGGAAACGGTATTCCCAGACGGCAGTGGCCTCTTTCAGTAGAATAATGCGCCCAGCCAAAGATGGTTCAAGCATGGTTTGAGGAACACAATAATGAGTTTGAGGTGATGACTTGGCCTCGAAATTCTCCATATCTCAGTCCAATTGAGCATCTGTGGAATGTTCTGGAAGAACAAGTCTTATCCATGGAGGCCCCACCTCCCAACCTACAGCTACTGATCTTCTACTGATGGCTTGGTGCCGATACCACAGCATACCTTCAGAGGGCTAGTGGAGTCCATGATGGGGTCAGGAAAGGGGGATCTACTCAGTATTAGGTGGGTGGTCATAATGTTATGGCTGATTGGTGTACATAGGTGTCCTGTACCTGAGTGACAACACTGCTCCTCCCCAGACACAGTATGATGAGCGTTGTCACCCTCTGACAGGAAGTGTGTTAGTGGTGGGATCGTCTATGAAATGATTCAGATACACTATAAATGTGATATTTACCAAGAGGCATACGTATAGAGCAGTGAATGAGACATTCACTGCAGGTGAATCCTCCAGGCGTATGTGTCTTTAATGACAGGGAATGTCTGGTCCTGATGGTGAAGAAACTTGGAAATGACATTCCTGGACCAATGTGAAGGGCAGGTGGGAGCTCCGCCCACAACCAGCCGTCCAATGGCAGAAATGACGTAATCAGCGGGGAATTAGAGGGAGTGGCGGGAAGAGTCACTATCCATGGTACGCACTGAAGGGAACTCCTCCCCCCCCCCCCCCCCCGGGCGATCTATGGACATTGGCGGGATTATATCGAACTTTGTATCAGATTCCAACCTTTTGATGCTCTGAAGAAATAGCAGTTTGTTTCCTCGTGTCCTGGTCAGACTGATTCTGGGGGAGGTCAGTGTTCATTATAATCACCTGGTGCACTCTGTGCTCTGAAAGTGGCAGGGTCTGCATCCTTTTAGAAGGACTTAACCCTTTGGGGAGTATTTCACCAAAACTAAAATTCCTGTTGCGGGGGATGCCTAAAACCTGACTTGCATCTTAGTGCACACTTCTGGGAAAATCAGTGAGCCAATCAGACGGGCAGGAAATAACATTTCTGGGGGGGGCGCTCTGTATACCCTCTGTGTAGAACTGCTGAGATTACTGCCGCCTATTCCTAACCTTGCTGACTGCAGAGCCACTAATTTTACTAAAAAGTGATGAAAATCACAAACCTGTCATACCTACCTGCTCTGTGTAATGGTTTTGCACAGAGCAGCTCTGATTCTCCTCTTCCCCTGCTTCCGCTCATGGCTCCTCCCCCTCCGCTGAGTGCCCCCAGAGCAAGCTGCTTGCTCTGGGGGCACTCGTGTGTGCTTGCTCCTGTCCATAAGGCACACAGAATGGGACTCGGATTAACTCCTCATTGGCTGTGATTGACAGCAGCAGGAGCCAATGAAGAGGGAGAGACCTGGGAGAGCCGCTGCTCTCGTACATGTTGATGGATGGAGTGAGGGCTCAGCAAAGTATAAGGGGGACTTTTTTTTAGCCTAATGCATAGATTATGTGAAGATAAATGTGACGGGAGTGACTTTGGGTGGGGGGGCCCATGGAACACAGCTCACTTTGGGTGGGGGGCCCATGGAACACAGCTCACTTTGGGTGGGGGGCCCATGGAACACAGCTCACTTTGGGTGGGGGGCCCATGGAACACAGCTCACCTTGGGTGGGGGCCCATGGAACACAGCTCACTTTGGGTGGGGGGGGCCCATGGAACACAGCTCACTTTGGGTGGGGGGCCCATGGAACACAGTTCACTTTGGGTGGGGGGCCCATGGAACACAACTCACTTTGGGTGGGGGGGCCCATGGAACACAGCTCACTTTGGGTGGGGGGCCCATGGAACCCAGCTCACTTTGGAGAGGTGGGGAGACCCCTGTCTCAGCTCCCCATATCCCTCTTATGTGTAAGTCCCCCTGTGCCTGTTAGGGGTACAGGGGGATCTGTCCTAATATTGGGGGGGGTTGTGGATTGTTTGGTGTCATGTGGCTGCATCCCATTGTTCTATTGTGTGTCTTGCTTGGGATCAAACTATTATGGGATGTATGTGTTTGTGTAATAGCTTGGTGGGGGGTGTCTGGGGCGGCCCTCCCTCCTGGTGGGACTGTCTGCTGATGTGTCTCTTGTTGTTGCTAGATGTAGTTTGCCCCGCCCTGTGTCATTATGCAGGGAGGGGGGATTGCCCCCTGAGTGTATATATCTTGTATCTGTGTTCAAATAAAGTAGTCTATTTCCTGATTCATTTCAGGACTGGTCTTGTCTAGTCCTGTATGGTCAGCGGTGGTCGGCGGACAGATTGGGTCCCTGTGGTCGGTGGGGTCCGTGGTCGGACG